TCGGTCCTGGAGAGCCGCAGCCCTGCAGAGTTTTGCTTCAACCCTAATCATACACACCTGAACAAGCTAATCAAGGTCTGAAGGGTTACAAGAACCGCTACAGGCAGGTGAGTTTTAATTAGGGTTGGAGCTGTACTCTGCAGGGCTGCGGCTCTTCAGGACCGGAGTTCGCCACTGCTGGTGTAGTTGAAGAATTTTTATTTCCCCCTAAACACAGCATAATCTGTATAAAAAATGAGTTTCAATAAATAAAAATATTGTTAAAAGTCACATTATTTGTTGTTTGTCACATGTAGTTGACCATTTTTGTGCTGAGGGTAATAGGAGGATTTTCCACCCGGCTACCACCGCAAATATATTTCAAACCTGTGGGAAGCACCGATATATTAAGCATTTCTCAGGGATTTCGGCACTTTCGTGGCTGAATATTCATGACTTTTACAATTACTCTTGATTACTGGATGGTAATTTTTAAAAATATTTTTTTAATAGAGATTTAAATGGTTTTATTGTATGTGTGCCAATATCTTCAGTAGGACAAAAATGTTTTAATTTCCATTAATATTCAAAGACCCTTATTTCCATGACTTTCCCAGGCCTGCAAACCACAATTTACAAATTTCCCCAAATATTTTTTTTTCTTCGAACATGTTAAGTTCAATATTGATTTTAAATGAACATGTGACAAGTGACCTTTGAACTTTGAAGAGCAGACCTGGTGTTCCACCCTCTCCACTCAAGTCATTCTCTTACCAACCTTTTTGGTGTAGAAGACAGCAGGAGCATTTCTCACATCCTCCTCAACAGGGCTCCACTCCATTGCCGGCTCTCCATCCTGCAAGAGTTTAAATGTGATAACAGCCCTTAAACACTCTCAGGTTTAGTAAATGGTGTTAATAAATAGACAAAATTATTTACTAACATATAACATCATTAATACATAATAACATTAAATGTTTAATAATAAAATATGTTAATCCTGATACAGTCTGTTGATCATACCCGCTCAACTATCCGGATGAAGCCAGGGATGGCTGTGTCCTGATTGCTTCTTTTGGCATTGGTGTGGAGGTAAACACCCTCCTTCTCAAAGATCAGCTGATGAATGACATAAAACATCACACTTTTACAGCAGGACCAAATGTCAACAAAACTATAGATGAATCATTTGAAACAAGATGTCAGTATATAATGATTATCCTTCAGTTTTGATCATATCAACAGCATTAAATAGATACAATGAATTTAAATGTTTGTTTTTTCTAATAACCCAACAATAAAATAATTGTAGCTTTAATACTATAGTGGACATTTCCTGATAGACTACAATAGATTAATAATTTAGCGGCTTACAAATAATAGATTTCAGAAGTTAGATAAACAACAGATCATCATATGGAATCTCATTCTAGCTGCTAGTTTTAAGCTACAATCTTGCTTTATGTTATGACCAAAGCTCTCCAGTTAACCGGCCCGACCAGTGACGCCGTTCAATAAAATCCTCCTTGCTGAACGTGTTACCCAATGGGTGACAGTGGTATTTGAAATATCAACCCATCATAAAGACATGACAGGGACTAAACCATCAGGCTTGAACGGCATGTCAGTCATCAGCTTGGGCTAGCGCTAACTAGCTCCAGCTATAAAAAAAACCCGAGAGCCTGAGACATTAAATACGTAAAAAGGTCAAAAATGTATATATAGTTTTGTGTGGTGTCAAATGTGACATCGTCGTAAGGTTACTGACAAACACTATCGCTACCCACCTTGTGACTTTCTGGCTTCGCCTCCATTCCTCCTCCCGTGCTGTGCTGTGCTCGCGTAGTTTGACCAAAACAATCACACTTCAGTTTTTTTCCCTGGATGACACCGCCCACCTCCGCAGCAGCCAATCAGAAACTCACAAAAACATGACGTTGTCTTTATTTTGTTATTTTGAAGATGAGCTCACGAGTATTACGTTCTTAGCATATATTTTTATATTTTTATTTTTATTAGACATTAAAGACATAACATGCAACATTTACAACTTTAACAAGACATCCAAAAAGATAACACAATTAAAGGAACGGGTTTACATTACATAGAAGAAAAAAAAAATCAATAATACTTAAGAAAAAAAAAAAAGACAGCATATACCCGTTCAATTTTCACCGTGCTGTGCTGTGCTCGCGTAGTTTGACCAAAACAATCACACTTCAGTTTTTTTCCCTGGATGACACCGCCCACCTCCGCAGCAGCCAATCAGAAACTCACAAAAACATGACGTTGTCTTTATTTTGTTATTTTGAAGATGAGCTCACGAGTATTACGTTCTTAGCATATATTTTTATATTTTTATTTTTATTAGACATTAAAGACATAACATGCAACATTTACAACTTTAACAAGACATCCAAAAAGATAACACAATTAAAGGAACGGGTTTACATTACATAGAAGAAAAAAAAAAATCAATAATGCTTAAGAAGAAAAAAAAAAGACAGCATATACCCGTTCAATTTTCAAGTAACTTCAACTCTTTAGCGAATAAAATTGTATCTCTACATTTTTTGTTATCAATACATTGGAGAGACTCAAAATACAAATGAAAATCAGTCATAAAGACCTTCAAACAGGGTTTAGAACTATTTCTTTTACTTTTATGAATATGAAATTTACCAAATAAAAGCATTAGATTCATCATAAAATTGACAGATGCATTTTTTGATTCAAAACATAAGATAACATCTTTGGATGTTGATCCACAATTATAACCAGATTTCTGTTGAATATATATAGATATATCTTCCCTGAATTTTTTTGGAATGGTAACATTAAAAAAAAAAAAGCTGTAGAATTCTTTCTGGCTGATCTGAACAAAATGAACATTTTTCATCAATATCCATACATTTAGCTAAAGTATAGTTACTAACATAAATATTATGAAGTACTTTCAGATGTATTTCCCGAAGTTTGTTAGATATTCAAAACCGAAAGGGAAGAAGCCAAGCTTTTTTCCAAATAATCTCTGGAAAACAAATGTTCCAGGAAAATTAATAGATCTCTTTTCATAAAATAGATTTCTAATAAATTTATTTGTACATTTTTTACTGTTAATGTCCACCCCATTTAAATTAAGAACGGGTTCAATTCTACAAATGTTAAGGGATGATATTTACAATAATTGAATGATCTGTAATAAAAAGCAGATGTCAGAATCGTGGAGGGGATCGTTGTTGAAAGTCCTCCCGCTGTCACCATAGATTCTGGCATAATTTGCTCATGTTCATGTCGTTTCAAACCCGCATGACTTTTTTTTCCTCTTCAGTGAAAAAAAGGGGGAAAAAAGAATGACACTCACCATTCACTTTCACCGCATGGGGAAAATATGCATTGATGACTGAGGCTGCCATTCTGGAGGCTGCCAATCTCCTTTTGTGATCCATTGAACAAAGACAGCCAAAGACAGTCAGTTTTGATTTAATTTTGCTCTTTAAATTCTCTTTATTATCAGCTTCCTTCAATGTCACACCTGCTCATGTTTGTTCTTTCTGAACGTTACCTTTGCAAATGTGTTGACGCCTGTGTATGTGCAAGACCGCCGCGCGTGAGTCCGCTCTAATGTTGCCATGTCCGCTTATTTCGCGTTTGATGGGCTTCTATGGCATAGACATAATAAATACCTAGACGCCTCATTGGCCGCTGGATCGTACGTCTACGTCGCCGCCATCTTGGTGCGGGCAAAATATATTTGTGGTACTCTCCCATTCACTGCTCTTCAAGTTAACCCAACTATGACGACTTCCGCTGCTGAGAACCCCAGAAATGTGAAAAAGGTCAGCTTCTAAATTGGCCACATTTACTTCCTTTGTAACTTTGATTTTTGTTTCTTTCTTTTAAATAAAACAAGTAGAAGTTATTATTTTTGTAGCATGACAATGCACTTCAACAACAGCAGTGTCTGTGTTGTCCCAAATTCTACATAGCGGTTTAAGGGGCTGTAATGACTTCGGCTGTTGATACTTCAAGGTGCAATAGGTGATTGTCTTCAGAAACATTTTTTGTTATGTTTTTTGAAAGTCTCTTCACGTCCCAATAACATTATAATATCATTAAGTTAAGTGGTCTAAATGTATTTATCTGTATTTATATATTCTGCGGAAGGTGTAGGACCAAGAAATCCTCGTCCAATCAAAACGTCTGTATTTATATATTCTGTAGAAGGTGTAGGACCAAGAAATGCTCGTCCAATCTATTTTGATTGACTTTCCTACCTGCTTGTCAACATATGTATTTGCATACCTCTGCGCACCCGGTGTAGTGCCGAAATTTGCACCCTGCCAAATTATGCACCCCCTAGTATTGGTAGGTTTAGGAGTAGGTGTGGGGGAGGGGTTAGGATTAGGGGTGGGGTTAGGATTAGGCAATCAGGTAGCGACTTCAACGAAGGGGTGCATAATCTGGCAGGGGTGCTGAATTCGGCAGAACACCGGTTCGGGCAGACAGGGTATGTCATCAGCGCGGTCACATATGCTATTGCAGACAGAGCGAGAACGACTTTCCTTCCTGGTATTGTTGTACTTTTACTAACTGTGCTATAAAGTTTTCTCACCGGTGAATGACACATGATGTATTGTAGTAATGTTGTTTCTGATCATCTGATCTGTGTGCGTTTATGCGTTCAGAGGGCGTAGCATTGAACGGCGATTTGCAGGGAGGGTGGGATGCTCAAGTTCAGTGCTATCAGGCTAAAGTTAGCATTTTCCTAGATCTCCTACTGCACCTTTAACAGTTCCAACAGGGCACTGAATATTGTAGGGCATATTTTTGGGGATTTCATGTGCTTTTTTTTAAGGGCACGTTCAAGCTCAAACCGGTGCGCAACGTTTTGCTACGGTTTCCGGGTTGAACACATGTTTCCTGGAAACGGTGCGCAATGGGGTTTGAGATACGTTTTCTCTTTTTTGGTGGGTGTGTCAAAAATGTCAGCCCAATCAGCAGCAACATGTATATAAACCATGCGGTATTAAAGAGACCGCTCGCACAATGGGTCCAAGTAAAGTCATTTACAAATGTGTCCGCTGCAGCTCGGTAACCGCAACAATTAAAGATATTTGAAGAAATGTTTGTCTTTTCATCCTGAAATGCGAGGCAAAATTTGGATCACAATAATTAGGAACAACAGTTTCCACAAATCCCTTGACTCGATTGGGATGTTCTCTTTTATTCTGGACCGCAAGGGCAGTGACTGTAACATTGAGCGTATATTTCAATATTAAACATGTATTTATACCGATTTCATCAGGCTCAGACAATTTTTCAAAAAGAACACAAAGAATGGCCTTCTCAGCTGCCATAGTTGCAACTCTTGCATCACCAGAGCAGGGTGTTCAATGCACCACCGTTTCCGTTTAAAAAAAACATTTTGCAATGTTTTGTTGGGGCTGAACGCAGCCCTGGTGTCTAAATGTGTGTTCCATTACCAGGTGTATGTGCACGACAGAGATATTCATTCATTTATTTAATTATAGAAAAGAGTATCTTGCTGTAAGTTGTAATTTAGTATTGGCTAATCAAGAGGGGGTCCAGGGACCCCCAAAAGGGCTGCAAAGGAATGTTGGGGGTCCGTGGAAAAATTTTGGAAAAACAGTGTAAAAAAAATTTCAATAAAAAAACAATAAATCAATAATAGAAATAAGATTAAATGAATGATTAATTTGATTATAATAATAAATAATACACATTAAAATAACAATATATGTAATGGTACAGTAGTGAGTAGAAAACTTTAATAATGTAATGTAAAGAAACTAAATATTTTGCTAATATTTTAAACATATTTACAATATTGTCTTTTCACAGTATAAATTGGGTATTCATACGTGAATTATGGAAAATATATACAGTAGATGGCTTTTACATTTTAGCACAAGGATGATCCTATTTGGGGTCCGTGGCATTTAAAACAATAAAAAACCTGGGTAAATCTACGTTTTTGTGTGTGTTTTCTATGCTTATTGTAGGGTGACCATACGTGACAATGGCACGTATGGTCGGTCACCCAAGCTTATTGATCAACCCACACAAATAACGCATGAAAAAAAGATGTTTAAAAAGTGTTTGTTTTTGAGGAGGAGGAGGAGGAGGAAGAAGAGGAAGAAGATTTGGATGGGAGGAGACGTAACCTAAATGAATCGGCAGGTAAATGCATCTATTTTTTGTTTCATATAAGGAGGTGTTTGTCATTTCTAAACTCAAATTCGAATTGAATGGATCTCTTTCTTTCTCAGGTGTCTTTTCAATGGATGAGGATTCTCTGTCCCGGGACTGCGAGCCCTTCTTTGAGTCTGATGGGGAGGAGGAGAGCACTGATGGTGAATAATAATAATAATAATAATAATAATTATTATTATATTATTTTAAATAAGAATGTACCAATATTACAATTCTGGTAAATGCCAAAAAATAGATAACAAATATATAAAATAGATAACAAGTGTTATTTAATTATTAGTATTTTAAATTAATAATTTTAAGTGGCTGTTAGGTGATAAAAAAAATAGGGGAAATCAGCATATATAAAAATATCCCATTTCAGCTGGTACAGGTTCACCAGTTCAAAAGTTTTCGGGTCAGTAAGGTTTTTTTATTTTTATTAATACTTTCATTCAGCAAGGACACATTATATAGAATTAAAAGTAACAGTAAAGACATTTAATATGTTACTAAAGATTTCGGCTTCAAATAAATTATTTATCAAAAAAATTGTAAAAAAAAAAAAAAGCATCACGGTTTTCATAAAAAATATTAGACAGCAGCACAGCTGTTTTCAACATTGGTAATAATGATAAATGCTTTTTTTAGCAGGAAATCAGCATATTACAATTATTTCGGAAGGATCATGTGACACTGAAGACTGCAGTAATGATGCTGTCTTCACAGAAATAAATTGCAGTTAAAATGAATATTCCCCCCCAAAAAAGTTATTTTGAATTGTAATAACATGCAACTATTACTGTTTTACTGTATTTTTGATTAAATAAATGCAGTCTTGGTAAGTATAAGATACTTCTTTCAAAAACGTTTAAAAAATCTTACCGACCCCAAAATAATGTAAAATAATGTGCATTATTCAGTAATCACAAGCGAATATGAAGTCATAGAAACTGTTTCAAGCACAGTGACTGTTCATGTAAGTGTTGTTCAAAGAGATCATATCTGAATTATGACACTGTAACCATGTGTTTTTATTGCAGTCATTCGTGTATTTATATCTGTTTTATTGCTGTCAGGCTCTCTGAGTGAGGAAGCTCCTCCCCCTCCACGTGGCCTGGCAGTAGGTCACCTGGCGTCTCGCTCTTCTAAGCCCATGGCAATGGCTCGTTCACTGCCTGTCTCTATACCAGTGTGGGGCTACAGGAACAACCATGCCCCTCAGGGCGACTCTCATAGTGGAGAACGGGTCAGTTACACATCGCCTTCATACATGTCCTCATCCACATATCCTCCTACTACAGCTTCATAGAGATTGACAACTCAAATGACCTTTTTTTGCAGATTATGTACACACTTTCAATACAAAGGATGTGTAAGATTGTAGGAAGCAAAATTACGCCACCTACTAGATTACTCATTTGACCAAATTTGAGGCGAAATTGTTCGTATCATTCATTGATGACAATTTCATAATTAATGTGTTAAATAGGTGCAATATTATTGTACTGCATTATTGACCCAGTTATCGATACAATATTTTGTTGCCAAGTCCTTTCCCGATTAACACCTTTACTGCTGTTGTGACAAAATGCACTTATACAGTGTTGCTTGAAAGTTTGTTAACCCTTTAGAAATATTTTCTATATTTCTGCATAAATATGACCCAAAACCTCTAAAGTCCTGAAAGTAGACAAAGAGAATACAATCAAACAAATGAGACAAAAATATATACTTTGTCATTTATTTATGGAGTAAAATGATTCCGTGTTAAATATTTGTGAGTGGCAAGTGTTTGTGAATCTTTGCATTCAGTATCTGGTGTGACCCCCTTTTGCAGCAATAACTGCAGCTAAACGTTTCTTGTAACTGCTGATCAGTCCTGCACAATGGCTTGTAGGAGTTTTAGCCCATTCCTCAGTACAGAAGCGCTCCTACTTGCTTTAGGTCCTTTCACAATTTCAATTGGATTAAGGTTTTAAGATTAAGATTGTCACTTTGACTTGGCCATTTCAAAACATTAACTTGGTTCTTCTTTAACCATTCTTTGGTAGAACGACTTGTGTGCTTGGGTCGTTGTCTTGCTGCATGACCCACTTTCTCTTGAGATTCAGTTCTCGGACAGATGTCCTGATATTTTCCTTCAGAATTTGCTGGTATAATTCAGAATTCATTGTTCCATCAATGATGGCAAGCCGTCCTGGACCAGATGCAGCAAAACAGGCCCAAACCACGATACTACCACCAACATGTTTCACAGATGGGATAAGGTTCTTATGCTGGAATGCAGTGTTTTCTTTCTCCAAACATAACGCTGCTCATTTAAACCAAAATGTTCTATGTTGGTCTCATCCATCCACAAAACATTTCTCCAATAGTCCTCTGGCTTGTCCACATGATTTTTAGCAAACTGCAGACAGGCAGCAATGTTGTTTTAGGAGAGCAGTAGCTTTCTCTTCGCAACTCTACCATGGACACTATGGTTGCTCAGTGTTCTCCTGATGATGGACTCATAAACATTAACATTAGCCAATGTGAGAAAGGCCTTTAGTTGCTTAGAAGTTAGCCTGCAGCCCTTTGAAACCTAGCTGAATTTTACACGTCATGCTTTTAGAGTGTTCTTTGTTGATGGACCACTCCTGGGGAGGGTAACAGTGGTCTTAAATTTCCTCCATTTGTACACAACCTGTCTGACTGTGGATTGGTGGAGTCCAAACTTTTTAGAGATGGCTTTGAAACCTTTTCTAGCCTGATGAACAACAGCAACTCCTTTTCTGAGGTCCTCTGAGATCTCATTTGTTTGTGCCATGACACTCTTCCACAAACATGACCAAACTTTGATAGATCCCTGTTCTTTAAATAAAACAGGGCACACACTGACACCTGATAGTCATCTCACTGATTAAAAACACCTCTGAACAGATGGACTCTAATTTCACCTTCAAATTAACTGCTAATCCTAGAGATTCACATACTTTTGCCACTCACAGATACAGTATCACACAGAAGTGAGTACACCCCTCACATTTGTCAATATTTTATTATATCTTTTCATGTGACAACACTGAAGAAATGATACTTTGCTACAATGTAAAGTAGTGAGTGTACAGCTTGTATAACAGTGTAAATTTGCTGTCCCCTCAAAATAACTCAACACACAGCCATTAATGTCTAAACCGCTGGCCACAAAAGTGAGTACACCCCTAAGTGAAAATGTCCAAATTGGGCTCAATTAGCCATGTTCTCTCCCCCGGTGTCATGTGACTCATTAGTGTTACAAGGTCTCAGGTGTGAATGGGGAGCAGGTGTGTTAAATTTGGTGTTATCGCTCTCACTCTCTCATACTGGTCACTGGAAGTTCAACATGGCAAAGAACTCTGAGGATCTGAAAAAAAGAATTGTTGCTCTACATAAAGATGGCATAGGCTATAAGAAGATTGTCAAGACCCTTATACTGAGCTGCAGCACGGTGGCCAAGACCATACAGCGGTTTAACAGGACAGGTTCTACTCAGAACAGGCCTCGCCATGGTCGACCAAACAAGTTGAGTGCACATGCTCAGCGTCATATCCAGAGGTTGTGTTTGGGAAATAGACGTATGAGTGCTGCCAGCATTGCTGCAGAGGTTGAAGGGGTGGTGGTGGTGGTGGTGGTGGTGGTGGGGGGCAGTGCTCGGACCATGCGCTGCACACTGCATCAAATTGGTCTGCATGGCTGTCGTCCCAGAATGAAGCCTCTTCTAAAGATGATGCACAAGAAAGCCAATTTATTTGATTGGATTCTCTTTGTCAGGACTTGTGTGAAAATCTGATGGTCTTTTGGGTCATATTTATGTCCACAACAAACGTGTCCACAAACTTTTTTTTTATAAAATGTATAATTTATTTTTAGAAGAAAAATTGAATAATGGCCATTGTTTTATTGTCACGTTTATTCACTTTTACTTGTTTTTTTTGCTTGATTTAAATGTCTTATTTTAGGTGGGCTGTACGGACCTGGACCACATAGCTGCCAGTATGAAAGCCCTCCTGGTCCCCGGAGCCACAGATGGAACGGAGATGTTTGGAGCACTGCCACGACCTCGCCTTAACACGGGCGACTTCTCTCTCAAGCACTGAGAGAAGACGAATGTGTGCGTATGTACTGTATGTTTGAGCGTGAATGAGAAGGGGTGGGGGACCGTGAGCATGTTTGTGTGCGAAAGTGATTTGAACAGAACTGGAGAGTTTGATGAATGTTTTTAACAAAGATGTTGCCAAATCGGAAACTTCTCCCACATATCATTAGTACTTCTATGGCACTGAAAGTGGTGAAACCTTTACCAACCCTTCACCTCTGCAGCAGGAGGAGGAGAGGTTTGATTAGCATGTCTTAATTGGAGAATTTCTTTTGGCGGATGGTTGTGACAGACTTTAGTTACATAGTGCATTTCATTGAGAAACACTAACAGAGCAAAAGTACATTACATTACTAATCATTCCCAGCAACTGTCCTCTGCAGTGTGGCATTTACTGATAGTATATGAGCCCATTTACACGCTGAGATACTCGCACATCCATCACCAGGGGAGCATTGTACATTAGCGAACACTACATGTACTTGGATATTTAGACCGCTGCGTTCAGATGTGAATTCAGTAGTGTATATTCCACGGCAAGATTGCCAAAGCTGACTAGATGTTAATGTGAATGCTTGCAAATGATGTCACTTTCTGCCTGTGCACTCATTTTTATTTCAGATACTGTCCTGAAGACTTTCTAAATCAATGCTTTGTAAAGCAAAAGACAATGAGTGGACAGAAAATTTCGGTAACACGAATGTTTGGGATTTTTCACCCATAAATTACATGTTTCTGCATTATAACTGATTAATGTGCTGATAACTGATACGAATGCAGAAATGCAAATTGTATAATTGTTGATTAGTAATGATAACTTCTCACGTCTTGATGGACTGAATGATATTTCAAATATGAGGGTTTACAACACTACAGATGTCAACCAGCTATGCGTTCATCTTAAACATTTCACAACTGTTCAACGTTTAAGTAAATACGTTTGAATAAACATATTGTTTGTTGTTGAATTATGTTGCACTGGGCATCTACTTGCATTGAAAAGTTCAAAGATTTTGACTAGGTGTGGTTGAGCAGGCTGAAGAAAATGTGTAACTCTCTGAGCAAAGTCGATGCTTCCTGTGCTCAGCAGAGGGCAGTGTTGTTTTTCTGTAGATTTTATGTACAAACTCTCCCTTAGCATTCATTTACACATTTAGCAGACACTTCTATGTAACGAACTGAGGTGGACTTACCCATTAGGCAAAGGTAGGCATCCGCCTTGGGCCCCCAAAAGCCAAGGGCCCCCTAAAATGCTTTTCATCTACAAGATACGCATTAAGCGTGGATATGCGAACAGTTGCTTTTTATGGTGTTTTATCATCACGATAACCGTCTGCTTGTCCGAAATGAACACGCTTCTCGTGTATCCTGCTTGTAGCAGTTGAAAATATGTATCTGAAGCTGTAATTAAATATTGAGCAACAGTGCGTATTATGTTTGTTTAAATGCTGCTTACTTATTCATAACAACCCAAGTAGAGGACGCATACGCATTTTGACAGCCTTTGGCACATGCTTACGCTGGTAACTCATCACGGTCATCAGCGGACTTTCCTCCTCAATATAGGCTATATTTTTTCACACTTTTCTCATTCTCACTAATTCAAGTTTTTATATGAATGAATGAAGGGAACCGACTGTCTTCAGAAAAGTTTCAATGGCATTTTTCATTCTATCTGACAAAGTAGCGTTTATGAGCAGCGCTGCTTTGTTTACAGTCGTTATTTATTCATTCATCTATTTTGCCTGGGGGCCCCAAATCACTAAATCCGCCCCGTAACGAAACTTATGAATACTAAAATAAAATGATTCATCTTAAATTCATTCCCATTCCATTAGCAAAATTATGACAAAAAGTCGAGATTGTTGAGATGAGTTGAAATTGACAAATAATTTTGACAAAACCTATTACAAAAAGTTAAAAAACATCATGACAAAAAGTTGAAATAATGAGTTTATAATTATGAGATCAATGTTGACATTACAGTTTTTGTCGTAATTATGACTTTTAATCTCTTCATTCTATAACTTCAAAATTCCAACTTTTTGTCTCATAATCATGACCTAGTATCTCATAATTTGTATTCATAATTATGACTTTCTAAGTCATTTTTTAAAATCTGTGCTTGTGTGAATAAAAGCCTACAGTAAATTAGAAGACTTTGATTCAGCTACTTGTATAGGTTCATATAGATTACTTTTATGATGTCTTTATGTAGTTTGTAAAGCTTGAAAATGTTGAGTACATCTTTCAATTGATGGACAAAAAATATAAGAGAATACAACAAAGTGATTCACCTTCACTTCATTCCCATTCCCACTTTTGATTTAATTCTCATTTATCTCATTCAGGTCAGGTTTGCATTAGCCAATCAACTAGTGCGCGAATACCTTAAATTACTCTGACTGGCTGATGGCACCACAAGAACACTCACAGTCTCAAACCTTTCAGTAACAGAAAAGAAGCCGTCATTTAAAATAAGTGTAAATTAGTATATTCTGTATGCTTTTACATAGACGTTGTTGCTCATTAAAAATAATAATAAAAAAAAAAAACAATCTGTGACAGAGCTGAATTTTGAAGAGAGCTGAAAGGGTAAAAAATTATATACTACTTTTTTTTTTTTCTCCCCAAAAAAGTACTTTTGATTGTCTTGGTCTAACCCTAACTGGGTCATGCTAACAAGCCAAACATTGGCCCGTTGATTAGCCCCCCCCGAAACCTGTACCTGGTTTTAACGTCATGTCAAAAAATATATATATATATATATATATATATATATATATATTAAAAAATGCAAGAAACAAGACAGTTCTTGTAATCTTCATGCATACATTTCATCAGCTCAGCTCTAGTATCGGGCTCAGTGATGTTGGGGTCATATGGTGGTGCCTTTTCTGTGATGGAAGGAAGAAGAAAGAGCAACAGGTCATTATACTCTATAACATGACTGCATAATCCTATTCAAATGTCAGCTGTATAATGGAGGCCCAAGCTTCATGTGATTTCCATTGTATTATGATCCTCTCCTATTAACACTATTAAGACAGAGAGGTGTAAAGACAGCAGCACTCACCTTGAAAAAGTCATGGCAATGATCATACATGCAAACAATATTGTCAGATTTACATGCTATTTTTATCTGAGTATAAGTGTCGGTTCTATTATAAGAATTAAAGTTACATCTCCATGACTTTGACCATCATGACACCTGCAGTGTTGACCAAACTTTGATGACTAATGATCAAAAAATAAGCTGACTATTAAAAACAGCTGAGCATCTGCTAACAAATAAAATGCACGTGAAATATGAAATTTGTTGCTGCATTTGAAAATAATTTTTACATAAATGTAAAAATGCTTAAAAAGCATGAACTTGATGAAAAATATACTACGTTTTGCAGGTTTGCTGACATATTTTTGGAGGGTGAGGTTTTGGAAAGCAGCTGTAGCAACAGGGGGCGCTCTGATTACGACTTGTAGTTTGCTGTTACCTGCAGGATTTGCTTCTGCTCTCGATCCTTTTCTTCCTGTAGGGGTGAAAATGTACATCAGTTAACATCAGAGGTGACCATTTAAACCACTTTAAATGAAGGCACAGGCAGTTTGGAAATGACACTGACACTGCACAAGCATTCTAGAGTCTTCCCTTTCCTTACATTGCTTTTCTGATACCCATTCCTTATCTCTTGTGTGCAATATATCACCCTATGGTATGCAATTCATCTACCCCCACTGTTGTTAGCACTGAATCATATAGTTTACCCATGCCTGTCAGGGTTTAGGTTACATCTGAGAAGCATGCTAGGCCTGAACTTACATTCACCATGGACACATATCATAGGCTCTGACAGCACTTTCCAAAAATACATTTTTGTTTCTGACTCACTTCCTTTTCTATGGTGTTAGTGGTGTTGGCATGTTTATGTCCAGCACTGGGCTTGCAGGTTTAACACTTTTCTTGTTACTGTTGAGCTTCTCAAGCACCTTCTGACGGCACATGTATTACAGCTCACACATTTTTTTGCCTTCTTTTGTTAATGTGGACATTAATATTAGCATCATAATTATCAGTGCTGGCATTAAGTGCATTGGTGCAGTTTTTGCCAGTTAAAGTGTTAATTGCAGCAGCAGACTGGTGGCAAAGAGGGAAAAGGTCACTGTAACAATGAAACATAACTAATATCCTGCAAATGGAGTGTTGTAGTGGCTAATACTTTGGGCTGAAAAGGAAGGTGTAAGGAAGTGTGTATATAAAATGTATTTTATGTATATAATTTGTTTTTCCATATATCATTTACCATCAGCAAAAAAAAGTAATGCTGTCAGTAATTCCTCAGTCACGTTTAAGCAGGCCTGCGATGCTGGTAAAAGCGGTTTGTGTTTGAGAATATTTTGATTGGCTGTGCGGGTCGGGCGATGGGTGGGGACAGAAGTGACTGATATCGCTATAATGGGTCTTCGTGACAGCGTAATGCTCCTCTAAGTGATCGGGTCAGCTGTGTTTCAGCACATGTAGGACTTGACTTCTGTACACCTGTTCAAGACCCCCACCTCTGTTTGTGATCTTGCTGACAATCACTGAGAACAGATTGTTCAGAGGTCACCATCATCATCGTCATCCTTAACATCTTTTATTTAATTTGTTATACACTCTCAGAAAAAAAGACACAAAACTGCGGCAGTAGCCGTTCAAAAGGTACTAATATGTACCTTTAAGGTATTAATACGTCCCATTTAGGGGTAAATAAGATATGAAGATGTATATTTTTGCGTTTGTACCACAGGATACCACCTCAGTGACAACTTTGAACCTTTTTTTCTGAGAGAGTACATCGGTGAGTTGCCTTTATCAAAGACACACACGCTCTACGCACATTATGACAGGGAAGCCCTTACAGGCCATCATGTAATTATGAGATACAAGCTCATACAAATGGTAGACAATGAAAACAAGCAAATGGCGCAGTCATTAATCTTTCTGCAGTGAAACCTTAGATATAATCCTGGTGCACACATAAATTCTTTAAGTTGCTTGGGACTTAAAGAGGGAGTTATAGAGGAATTGATGGTGCAGGAGCGAAGGGAACAGAGGTAGTAAAGGGATCAGGGCTAGAGATAAGCAACTGCTGCTGACAGGTCACTCCATCAGTCATAGCCTGTTTCACCCTCTCTTCGGGATCTCTTCCTTATAGGGGCTGGTATGGAGGGAGTCAGGAAGAACAAGAGGGAGGGGTCGAACATAACAGCCAGCATACTATACTTTACCCATGGTCATGAAGCAGAGCTCCAAAATAAAACAAATCAGAAAGATCTAAAAATGTCGGATGTCGAGGCTGTGTTCATGCAATTTGAAGCCATGCTGACAGCTCTTCAAGTCAGGGTTTTCTCCCTGGTGTGACATTCAACCCTGGTGTTTTGTAAATGATGACTTGGTGGAGATTGACCATGAACGGAAGAATGCTGTAAACAAGAGGTGCACGGAAGGGGTCTGGGTGAAAGCCTTGTTTTAAAATCCATAGTGTCCAATAACGGATCATTCACAAAGCCTCGTTCACTCACATCTTTCACCAGATGAACACATAATTGTGAAAGACTGATGGTCTGACACAGATTGCAAATCAGAAGACATAGAATGAGAAGGACCAGAAACAGCGATGAGTACGGCAAATAATAATAATAATAAGGATTTATTTATTGCCATTTTTGTCTTGTTCTCCATTAAAAAAAATACATTCTGAACACACTGTAAGAATCAGTGGAAAACCAAAAAAAGTTACTGGTAAGTTTCTGCCAGGACATTATCTGTCGAGTTTACAGACATTTTCTTTAATCCTGAAACACAATACAATGCAATGCGTAAAAAAATATAGGGAAAATATTAGGGTATTTTTATTTCTTTGAGCATAAATTTAACAAAATTTTGTGAGGTTTGTGCTTAGAAAATAATTTAATTAATATAACAATAATAAGTAGTTTACAATTTTTATGTACCTATATAATTCTCTAAAGATTTAGGTTCTTTAAAAAAAGTTTATTAATAAGTATTAAAATAAGTATTAAAAAATACTTAAGAACTTTTATTTTGCCAGAGAAGTGATAAACAAACAAACAAAAAAATATTGTTTATCAAGTGATTGAAAAGGTCAGATCATTCACCCGAGTGGAAACCTTGAGCATGGCATTGAGGGAAATCCATGTTATATTTTGTTTCTACATTATAATTTATAAACATTAAATGTTGTCACCTGATCCACATTGTCAGTGTTTATCAAATCCTTTAAATAAAACTGGCATCGTATCAACTGGAACAACTGTCTGCTGTTGAGAAACTTTGAACTTCACCTCTATTTAGCATCAGCAGTTATGTTGATGACCTCAGGGTCTTTGCTAGGCTTTGGTGTCTTTCGCTCATGATGACAGTGCAGAAAGCAAGTTGTTTGTGTTGGACAAGTCTTTAGGGTGTTTTGCCAACCTCTGCCATGCACCCAGAAGCTACGAGCACGCTGGTATGGTTCATATTTGGTGTCTGGATCAAGGAGACGTTATGCATGATGATTTGAAAGGGAAGGCGATGGATATGATCTTGCGGCCCCCCCAAGTGTTGAAAACCACATGCCGAGTGTCGGCCCTCTGTTGATTGCTTACTTGAAACAGGCCCAATGGAAAATAACATGAACAGGCAGATGCACAAATAGAGGGATTCATGTCTGTAAAGGGAGATTTCAGAGGTGTGACCCATCACAGTCCTGGGAAAGACATTCAACCCGCTGGGATAAGAGACTTTCTCAGAGATTGGTTAGATCAGATCTCTCTTAACATTGATTGAGTTGGTTTCCGTGCTGACTTAGATTGCTGAGAATGATGCACTCATGGTGCACCATGCACATGTGCTGTCTAATCTTGCCAGATGCTGCCTTGCCCAATAAGTCAGACCCAAGTAATCTCAGAAAGAGGAGGGTAGATCTGTGGAGATGAGTTACTGTGGAGGGGTTTACACGTCATTACCCCTGTGATCAAGAAGGCGGCATGTCATCATTGATAAGTTAATAAGAAACCAGCAGCAGCCTCTTTTCATCTTTTAATAAGGTGCAAGAGGGTCCTAACAAGGAGAAAAGCAGTACTAAAAATATATTATATTTAATTATATTATATTATATTATGTAATTGTTTGTTTTATTTTAATTTGACCATGAACGGAAGAATGCTGTAAACAAGAGGTGCACGGAAGGGGTCTGGGTGAAAGCCTTGTTTTAAAATCCATAGTGTCCAATAACGGATCATTCACAAAGCCTCGTTCACTCACATCTTTCACCAGATGAACACATAATTGTGAAAGACTGATGGTCTGACACAGATTGCAAATCAGAAGACATAGAATGAGAAGGACCAGAAACAGCGATGAGTACGGCAAATAATAATAATAATAAGGATTTATTTATTGCCATTTTTGTCTTGTTCTCCATTAAAAAAAATACATTCTGAACACACTGTAAGAATCAGTGGAAAACCAAAAAAAGTTACTGGTAAGTTTCTGCCAGGACATTATCTGTCGAGTTTACAGACATTTTCTTTAATCCTGAAACACAATACAATGCAATGCGTAAAAAAATATAGGGAAAATATTAGGGTATTTTTATTTCTTTGAGCATAAATTTAACAAAATTTTGTGAGGTTTGTGCTTAGAAAATAATTTAATTAATATAACAATAATAAGTAGTTTACAATTTTTATGTACCTATATAATTCTCTAAAGATTTAGGTTCTTTAAAAAAAGTTTATTAATAAGTATTAAAATAAGTATTAAAAAATACTTAAGAACTTTTATTTTGCCAGAGAAGTGATAAACAAACAAACAAAAAAATATTGTTTATCAAGTGATTGAAAAGGTCAGATCATTCACCCGAGTGGAAACCTTGAGCATGGCATTGAGGGAAATCCATGTTATATTTTGTTTCTACATTATAATTTATAAACATTAAATGTTGTCACCTGATCCACATTGTCAGTGTTTATCAAATCCTTTAAATAAAACTGGCATCGTATCAACTGGAACAACTGTCTGCTGTTGAGAAACTTTGAACTTCACCTCTATTTAGCATCAGCAGTTATGTTGATGACCTCAGGGTCTTTGCTAGGCTTTGGTGTCTTTCGCTCATGATGACAGTGCAGAAAGCAAGTTGTTTGTGTTGGACAAGTCTTTAGGGTGTTTTGCCAACCTCTGCCATGCACCCAGAAGCTACGAGCACGCTGGTATGGTTCATATTTGGTGTCTGGATCAAGGAGACGTTATGCATGATGATTTGAAAGGGAAGGCGATGGATATGATCTTGCGGCCCCCCCAAGTGTTGAAAACCACATGCCGAGTGTCGGCCCTCTGTTGATTGCTTACTTGAAACAGGCCCAATGGAAAATAACATGAACAGGCAGATGCACAAATAGAGGGATTCATGTCTGTAAAGGGAGATTTCAGAGGTGTGACCCATCACAGTCCTGGGAAAGACATTCAACCCGCTGGGATAAGAGACGT